TATTTCTCCGTGGGATTTAAAAATGTTTTTATTCGACCGAGTTGATTTTGTTGCTTTTATTTCCAGGTTTGCTTATATTTTCAAGCCTCTTTGTTCTACAAGAATGCCCCAACTTTATCTTTTAATCCTTTGTTGACTTTTTTGATGTGGGGGACAAAAGTATGTTTAATTTGCAAGGCTGTGTTCTTTTCCTGTAATTGTCCCTTTTTCAGAGTTCTCTGTTCTTTTAAAGGTTTTTTTTTTCTTTCTTTCTTTTTTCCCCCTAATTATCTCTGTTTGCTCTAGGGTGAGTTTTCTGTTCCCTGTCTTGTCCTCTCTCACTCCTGGCGTGGGTGTGGTTATCTCTGTAAGTGTAAGAGTGAAGCAGTAGATGTGTTAAGCGGAAGCTCTGTGCATGGCTGGGCCTTGTGGGCAGAGAGGCTTGGCTTCAGGGCGAGTGGGCAAGAGCCTGCTTGGGGGTAGGGTCCTCTTAGGTCTCCGCCGTCCACGTATGGAGGCTTTACCCTAGACACCAACTCCACGCTTGTCTGCTCATGAGAAAGTCGGCTGTGTTCACACGTGCGCGCGCGTGTGTGTGTGTGAAATCCCTAGCGTGCTAGGCCCTGTGCTGGGTGCCACAAACAACAGTGTACAAGGCATGCAGTGTCCCTGCCTTTGTGGCGTTTTTATTCTAGAAGATATTAGCACTTAGCACTGTTTCTTTCCTTTCTCTGTTCTGAAAATTTGTTGAAATCTCTTCTGTTGGCCCTTCTCTGTGTACTCTTTGATATTGTAGGTTTATGGATTTTTTTAAATTCCTTTCCCTTTTTTAAAAAAATTTTTTTATTTTTTTGAGATGGAGTCCTGCTCTGTCGCCCAGGCTGGAGTGCAGTGTTGCCATCTTGGCTCACTGCAATCTCCGCCTCCCGAGTTCAAGCAATTCTTCTGCCTCAGCCTCCCAAGTAGCTGGGATTACAGGTACGTACCACCATGTCCAGCTAATTTTTGTATTTTAGTAGAGACGGGGTTTCACCTTGTTGGTCAGGTTGGTCTCGAACTCCTGACCTCAGGTGATCCGCCCTTCTCAACCTCCCAAAGTGCTTGGATTACAAGCGTGGGCCACCGCGCCTGGCCTATTCCTTTTCTATTTTAAAATAATATCTTGGAAGGCAGAGGACTAGAAGGGCTTTTTGAATTTATAATACAGAAGCTAGATTGTGTTCTTCCGGAAAACTTGTCATGTGTGAATATTAAACCCAGAAAGGTCGAGTGCTCAGATTCTGAAAAGAAAGCAACGATTAAGAGTTGCCAGTTTAGAATGATAAAAGTTGTCTTCTCAGGGTATATAGCAGTCCTGAGAGAGGAATTTTTTTATACGATTGCTCTGTTTTTCATCAGCCTCATTATATGGACCTTGGGTTTAGTCTTCCTTCTGTTGGGTAGAGATATATTGATGATCTGGTTAAGCCAGCTCTGTAGCTTCAAAATCAAATCCCAATTATTGAGCCTCTTGTGGAGCAGCTGTTTTTAAAAAATGAATGTTGCCTTAATTTCAAAACCATGTTATATTGGAATGAATATGTATCTTCTAGAACCTGAGGAGATTAATTTCTTAAAGGGATCTTCTACTTGGACTAGAAATCTTTCTGGTCGGTGAAGCACAGAACAATTGGAATGGACTGCTTTAGGCATGCTTTTCTCTAGAATGGTGTACGTATCAGTAGAGTTGATGTTGTTTTTCAAAACAGCTTTTGTTTTAACCAGAGCTCACTTACTTGTCTAGCTTTTTCCTGAAGCAGCCATTTTAATAATTTTTTTTAAATGTTAGGAGAACTGTTCAGCCTGGGAAGAAACATGTGGGGTAGTGGGTTTGGGGGGAACAGTGCAGAGTTAGAATCCGTATAATGCTGATGGATTGCTGAGCTGAAAACCTGGGTCTTGACACAGGAATGGGACTGGAGAGCAGGTGTGTAGGTGATCTTATTTAAGGCTCCATCCTCCAATACACACACCTGAGTGATCACCCTTGAGTTCTCAGGGACGCAGTATAAAGCCCACTCTTGTGAAGGTGGCCTGAGTTGGATTTAGTTGGTCTGTTGGGATCTTGAGAGTGGCTGTCTCTTCCAGCCTCTAAATTAAGAGTGTTTTTCAAACCACAGGACTCAGTATATTAGGTAATTATACAATTACCTAATTGATTATGAAATAATTTTTTTAAATTTTTAATTATTATTTTTTTGGAGACAGAGTTTTGCTCTTGTTGCCTAGGCTGGAGTGCAATGGCACGATCTTGGCTCACTGCAACCTTCACCTCCCGGCTTCAAGCGATTCTTCTGCTTCAGCCTCCCGAGTAGCTGGGATTACAGGTGTTCACCACCACGCCTGGCTAATTTTTTGTATTTTTAGTAGAGATGCGGTTTCACCATGTTGGCCAGGCTGGTCTCAAACTCCTTACCTCAGGTGATCCACCCACCTCAGCCTCCCAAAGTGTTGGGATTACAGGTGTGAACTACCACATGCAGCCATAAAATCAGTTTACTGGACTAAGCCACTGTTAATATCAATGCATTTCACATGGTGAGGTGTTATTTTTGATACTTTTATGTATGGTTGAGATTGGGTCATGAGACAAAATGCATTTCTTTTCTTTTTCTTTCTTTTCTCTCTCTCTTTTTTTTTTTTTCTTCAAACCGGGTCTGGCTCTGTTGCCCAGGCTGGAGTGCAGTGGTGCAATCTTGGCTCACCGCAACTTCTGCGCCCCAGGCTCAAGCAATCCTACCTCAGCCCCCCCGAGTAGCTGGAACTACAGGCGCGTGCCACCATGCCCAGCTAATTTTTGTGTTTTTTAAGTAAAGACAGGGTTTCACCATGTTGCGCAAGCTGGTCTCAAACTTCTGGGCTCAAGCAGTCTGCCCGCTTTGGCCTCCCAAAGTACTGGGATTACAGGCGTGAGCCACCAGGCCTGGACTAAAATGCATTTCTTCTTTTGGATTTTGAGATGTTTAAAAAACACAGTTTTTTAGAGAAGGACGGGGAAAAACTAGGTTAAAAAAAAAAAAGGAAAAATTTGGCTTTTCTAATGTAGCTAATTAACCCACTCTGTAGGCTTCACTGTAGTCTATTGCTTCTACCTTCTTATTGTGATTTTTATGAAATATTTGGGGAAAGTAACTGTTCTCTGAATGTAGTAGATTAAGTTTTAATGCCATGGGCAGAAGGAAGTTATGTGTAACCTAACTATGCTCTCAAGTAGAGATGTTATTCGAACTCTGTGCTGTCTAGAAATATAACATGAGCCATAGATGCACATTTATTTCCTACTATTTCCACATTTAGTTCCTTTGAGATCAATTAAAATAATACATTTTATTAAGTTATATCAATGTGCAATCAATATAAAATATTAAAAAGTAATTTTTCTTTGTTTTTATAGAAAGTTTGGTGTGTGTGTGTGTGTGTGTATTTTTTTTTTTTTTTTTTTTTTGAGATGGAGTCTTGCACTGTTGCCCAGCCTGGAGTGCAGTGACGCGATCTCAGCTTACTGCAAGCTCCGCCTCCCGGGTTCATGCCATTCTCTTGCCTCAGCCTCCTGAGTAGCTGGGACTACAGGCACCCGCCACCACACCCAAGTAATTTTTTGTATTTTTGGTAGAGACAGGGTTTCACCATGTTAGCCAGGATGGTCTTGATCTCCTGAACTCGTGATCTGCCCACCTTGGCCTCCCAAAGTGCTGGGATTCGAGGCGTGAGCCACCACACCCGGCCTCAATGTATATTTTATACGTACTGCACATCTCAAACTGAGTAGTCACATTTCAAGTGGTTAATGTCACTTGGGGCTCCTGGCCACCATATTGTACAGCGCAGCTCAGGCTCACATAGGCACCCACTGAGGATAGAAGGACACTCACGCCACCCCTACCCTTGGGAGTGTGGGTGCCCTTTGCTGTGCCACGGAGGGAACAAGAGCGGAGCTTCTGCTCAGCACCAGGCAGGGTTTAAGGCACCTTAATTTACTCTACATCATCCTTATCAAGTGGGTGATGGTGGGGCCACTTTATTGATGATGAAGTATGACCCAAATAGGTTATATAACTTGTCTGAAGTGACCTAATTTGATATTTGGTAGATTGGAGTTGGGATTTGAACCTGGTTTGCTTGATTCTAATGCTTGTTCTTCTCATTGGCCCACATAGCTTCCCACAGTATGCTTGAAGGGTCATTTTAGAGGGTGTCTGTCCAAATCTCCTGTTTGTATAGGTGGGGAGATTGAGCCATTGGAGGATTGCAGAAGGATATTGTGGTAAGAGCTGTGATCCGGGAATTAAGTAACCTTGTTCTGATGATAAGAGCACATTGTAAAACATCCAAACAATGAAGAAAGGTATGAAGCAGAAAGAGGAAGTCCCATAATCCCTGTTCCCAGAGTTAAGCACGATTTTAGGTATATATTCTAGACTTCTATTAGTTCTCAGTGTATACATAGTCTCTTTCTCCAGACCCCTCCCAGAGATGGCACAAAATTGTTCGTACATGTTGCTTTGCCTCTTGCCTCCCCTCCCCACCTCGGGGTCGCGGACATCTTTCCATGTTGGAGCTCAACTCAGCGAGGCGGTCCTGCTCTGTTTTTGACCATGAGGGAGCTGAGGCCCAGAGAGATTAATTAAACGTCAGCCTGAAGTCTCCCAACTGGAAGGGATGAAAATGGCCAGGCACTCAGCTAATATTCATCCTTTTTCATTCATAGCCAACCTAATTTAACCTTCAGTAATCTCTTCTCTCTTGTTTTTCCTTCCAAGAGTTCCTTTCTTAGAGCTTTTCTGTGTGACTTAAGGGCCTTCCTTTCTTTAGAAAATCTGATAGGAATTGGAGCCATAACTATTTCTGTCACTCAGTCTGGCTTCTGAAACTGGCTTCTAGTTTCTTTCTTGGTATCCTTCTCCTTTCGTGGCCTCTGGATCTTCCTTGATTTTTGGCGAGATAAAAAGCTTTCTTAGTAACACTGCCCTCCATTTTCGTAGTTCCCAGTGACCTGACCGCAGAGGAGCGTCAAGAACTGGAGAACATCCGACGAAGAAAACAGGAGCTGCTGGCTGACATTCAGGTAGGAGAGTGGCATGGTGGTTTCACCAGCCTAAGAACCGCAGTGACAGTCCCATTTGTATAAAAGGGTGTCCTTTGCAGCGTATCTCCTCAGGACACTTTTGACCTGCCCTCACTACAGCTCTGCACAAAGTGTAGGTGTTGATAATCACCTTTCCTCTACAGCTCAGGAGATGGAGTGTCAGAGAGCTTGAGTGGCTTGTCCGGGTTCACCCAGCTGGTCGGTTGTCAGAGCTGGAGACACCCTGCAGGACTCCTGTCTCCTGAGTAGTCCTCTCTGCTGTGTTTGCCCTTGTGGAGCAGAGTGGATGGGGAGAGGCAATGAGAACGTGGGCTTCAGGCGAAGCTCGGCCCACACCCCGGCCCTGGCTCTGCCGCTTACTAGCTGAATGATTTGAGACAAGAGAGTTCTGGTTCCTTGAACTTCAGTTTCTTCATCTGTCAGATCATGAAAACACCTACTACACACTTGTAAGGACTTAGCATAAAAGACAGCATAATTTCTGGTCCCTCTAGATGTACTTAGTGATAGCAATTTTACTGTTTTTCCAAGTTCCTTTCCGTAACTATCAAGCTTTGTAGGAAATAAGTCTAGAAGCCAGTAATTGGATTATTTTCACCCTAAGGCAGTAAATGTTACTCTTTTAGAATTCTTTGTAAAACATTAGGAGTGGGGTTAAGGGGTTAAGGAGGGAATCCTGTTTGCCCAAAGAAGCAAAATGAGGAAAGACTTGACTTGCTCTGGAGTTCAGTATATTTTGATAGTTCTCCCTGATCCTTTGACTCCTGCTTCACTGGTAGATCCTGAGAAAGATGAGCAGCTCTGCACTGAAGCCCGGCCTCCACGGGAGAGCCCATCCATTCTGACCAAGGGTGTGCTGGAACGAGGAGGGTGGGTGTGGATGCAATCGATTTGATCAGACATTCCCTTTGCCAGCCACTTGGTGGCAGTGTTGCCCTGGCACAGCTACTGCTGGCTCTGCAGCCTGGGATTTGGGTAGGAGACTTTGTCCTCTGAATTCTCTGGCACACTTGTATTTAGTTAGCTGCAGATTTGTTCTGAAAGATTGTGATGAGGCAACCAGTTTTTTTTACGTAGCATATATTCTTATAAACTTTCCTAGACCGTAAACTCTTTGAGGTCAGAGGCTGTATCCTTTTCTACCTTGGTATTTTCTGGAATGCTTACTATTTGGTAGGCACTCAATAAATATTTCTGAAACAGGTGAATTTTCCTAATTTACTTTTTTGTATTTTTGTGGTATTTTGTTTCATTTTGGTTTATTTTATTTTGTCTTTGGTTGGAGGGCGTTATGTGAGATTTTAGAAGTTTTAATTTGATCTGCATTTCCCTTTCCTGCTAACTCTGGACTGTCTGTTTTACAGAGGCTGAAGGATGAGATAGCAGAAGTAGCTAATGAAATTGAAAACCTGGGATCCACAGAGGAAAGGTGAGTCTGCCCTGCTGCTGGGTGACTTTCGTGGTTGTAGTTTCTGAAGCACCCAGGCCTTAATTACGCTTACGTGGCAGATTGAAGGAAAAAGTCAGCTTTGTGTCCTTCTAGTTCTAGCAAGCACATATACACCCATCATTTCTGCCTTTCATCCTTCACTGCAAGGCCTCCTGAACATAGGAGGTTCTTCCATTGTTGAAAAATTGAACTGGAGGCCGGGTGCGGTGGCTCACAGCTGTAATCCCAGCACTTTGGGAGGCCGAGGCGGGCGGATCATGAGGTCAAGAGATTGAGACCATCCTGGCCAACATGGTGAAACCTTGTCTCTACTACAAATACAAAAATTAGCTGGGTGTGGTGGTGTGCATCTGTAGTCCCAGCTATTGGGAGGCTGAGGCAGGAGAATCACTTGAACCTGGGAGGCGGAGGTTGCAGTGAGCTGAGATCACACCACTGCACTCCAGCCTGGCGACAGAGCGAGACTCCGTCTCAAAAAAAAAAAAAAAATTGAACTGGAGAATGTCAAAGGCCCCAGAAAGCCTTAAACTGCTCCTGAATTTTTATGTGAAGTACTCCCCTCTGTTGTCCACCGTGTGTGTACATTTTAAAGTTTCTGTTTTTCCTTTGTGTAAAGGAAAAGCTTAATGAATGCTGCTGATACAATTTCTAAGGGCTGGAGTGCCCAGTCATGTCTGAGTATAATCGCAAGCTTATTCGTACCTTCCTAATGCTTAAGGGAAGGAAATGTAGAAATGCAATTATAGTATAAAAGGACAAGGACTCTTTGCTTTTTTTTTCTTTTATTTACATGAAATGTTAGTGACTTTGAGAGTCTAGTTTTGAATGGGGTTCCCAGACCGTTTTCTGACTGCTTAAGGCAATAAATGGCTGTTTCCAATTCACTACATGTCTGTATTTTTCTAAGCCTAAGTCTTCCCGTCTGGCTTCATAGGACTGTTTGATTTATTGTTTTAGACTTCTGTGGGCAGTGCCACCAAGGTGTAGTGAGGCCGAGTACTCCACAGAAGGCGGCCAGCTCATCACGGCCAGTCTCTGTATTGTCCATTTGGTATTTTGGATTAGTTTCCCCTCTTTCCATGTTAAATACTTGTAGCTTAAATGAAATGGATACGTTGGAGTTCATAAAAATTTAAAGCTTCTACTTTTTTTTTTTTTTTTTTTTTTGAGACGGAGTCTCGCTCTGTCGCCCAGGCTGGAGTGCAGTGGCGCGATCTCGGCTCACTGCAAGCTCCGCCTCCCGGGTTCCCGCCATTCTCCTGGCTCAGCCTCCCGAGTAGCTGGGACTACAGGCGCCCACAACCGCGCCCGGCTAATTTTTTGTATTTTTAGTAGAGACGGGGTTTCACCATGGTCTCGATCTCCTGACCTTGTGATCCGTCCGCCTCGGCCTCCCAAAGTGCTAGGATTACAGGCGTGAGCCACCGCGCCCGGCTAAAGCTTCTACTTTTATAAAAGATAAAACTATTAAAAGAAATGAACAGGCAACAGATTAGAAGTAAATATTTGCAACAAATATATCTGAAAAGGGACTCATATCTAGAATATGTGATAGAAAGACAGCCCAAATAAAAAAACGGGCAAGACTCTTGGACACTTTACAAAAGAAGCCTTATATATAGTTGACACATGAAAAATGCTTAACATCATTAGTTGTAAGGGGGTGCAATTAAAACCCCAATGAAACGGTATTTCACATCCACTAGGATGGCTAGAATTAAAAAGATGGATGGCACCTCATGTTGGCGAGTGCTAGCGAGAATAAAATATAACCATTTGGGAAAGAAGTTTGGCAGTTTCATCAGCAATTCAACTCCTAGTCACTTAAGAGAAGTGAACACATGTTCATACAAAGACTTGTACTAGAATATCTATAGCATTCTTATATAAAATAACCAAAGCTGGAAGTACCCTGAATGCCTGCCAGCAGGTGACTGGATAAACAGGTCGAGGTAAGAGACTATTACTCAGCAGTGTGAAGGAATGAACTGCTAATGTGCAGCAGCACAGATAAATCTCACAAACTTGTGATGAGTGAAAGAAACTGTGGGCACCGTGTGCTTCCATGCATGAGCGTCTAGAACACACAAACTAAGCTGTGCTGGCAGAAATCATAGCAGTGGCTGCCTCCGAGGTGGTTGCTGGGGTAGGCTGGGGTGCGGATGACTAGGAAGGGCCATAGGGAACTTGCAGGATGACAGGAATGTTGTGTATTAATCTGAGTGGTGCCTCAAGGGTATATACACTCATCAAAACAAATTGAACTGTACACTTAAGATGTGCGCATTTTGTTAAATGTAAATTTTACCTCGATCTTAAAAATGTAAAAAAATGGCTTTTTTTCTGGTTATAAAGGTAATATACCTTTATTGCAGAAAATTGGTAAAACACAAAAAAGTATAAAAAACAAATTTCTCATAAACACTTATCCCTGAGATAATCAGGATTCATATTTTGGTAGGTTTCCTTTCTGTATATTCTGGTGTCCGCACACACATACTCAGAATTCAGTGTGCCCTTTGTTTTTTCCTCTTGATTAATTCTCTGTCAGTTACCATAGAACAGCAAGGAAATGCAGACACCGGGAATGTGAGTGCATTCAAAGTACTCAGCCAGTGAATTTGGGAAGACTTGTAATTCATGAACTGCATCTGAAGTTGTGAGTCAGGGAGTGGTTTTTTAGGTTATTACTGTTTTTTAATCTGGAACTTAAAATGGTTTTCCAGTATTGAAAGCACCAAGCGGGAAGTGATTCTGCAGATCCCCAAGGATCCATCCATACGGGTACTCAGGCTCACCCTGCATTTGTTTCTCAAGCACGCATTACATTTGCTCAGACTTTCCCACAGGAGAGAATTCATGTTTCTCATCAACGACCTGATGCCAGCATTACGTAGAAATTATCCTAAATACTATTTAATCAAGCAAAAATAATATACTCCTGGAGTACAAGATTTCACTTTCTGAAATGTATACACGTCAGTTAACTAAGGCGATCCAGTAGCAGGAACAGCTGTTTTGCTTTGGACACCTTACTAGGGTGTCAGACCTGTGTAGACTGGGGAAGGCCCCTTAGAGAGGTAGCTGCCTAGGGCCTGGAGCTATAGGGGCTCCAAGTGGAGCAGATGGAGAAGTGAGCTGGCTAGCTAGTGAAATGAGGGCGCCATCTTTGGTGTGTGTCCCGGGCAGTCACATGGCACAGATTGTGGCTGGCAGAGATCGGGGAGTGTGCGTTCTGGTGGCTGCAGGAAAGCGTTTGGTGAAGGACCAGACTGAGGCCCAGGAAGTTGAGTATTCCCAGTAGTTTCACTCCTTGCTTCTGTGGGCACCTCTGACACTGCCTCGCCACTTACACTGGAAACCGTGAAACAGGCCTTTCCTTGTGGTATTTGTTTGGAAATACTGATCAAAGTAATCTTACTGGATTTAGAAAAAAATAATTAGATGATCATTTTAGTTAAATAGGAATTTCTAGATATCTGGTCATAACCCTTCATTCTGACTGAAATTAAATGGTGTTTCCCCTGTGACTTTGTTTCTTAAGGCAGCTGTTCACAGGGGATCCCAGATTATCTTACACCTGGAAGTTCTGATACTACTCACAGTTTTCAGGTGTTCCTTTCAAAAGGTCAAAACAGGCTGGATGTGATGGCTCACGCCTATAATACCAGCATTTTGGGAGGCTAAGGTGGGAAGATGGCTTGAGGCCAGGAGTTTAAGACCAGCCTGGGCTACATAGGAAGACCCTGTCTCTACAAAATGTTTTAAGAAGTAGCCAGTTGTGGTGGCACCTGCCTGTAGTCTAGTTACTCAGGAGGCTGGGGCCTGAGGATCACTTGAGCTCAGGAGTTAAAGGTTGCAGTGAGCCACAGTCTCACCACTGTACTCCAGCCTGGGCGACACAGCAAGACCCTGCCTGGCATAAAAACAGTAAAAACACCAACTCTCAAAACACTTAGGAAGATGTTCTTCCCTCCAAGGATTTAGCTAGCGAATACCTGTGTTCTTCAAGGCAATAACATGTTACGATTTTGTTTCTGGGCAACTCTTTTGCTCTCAGAGATTATAAAATTACTATTGACATTGATGGCAGTGGTTCTTAAATTTGGGTGCACACCAGAATTACTGCAGAAGGTTTTAAAAATTCAAATTCCTAGGTTCTGCCCCTTGTACTTTGACTCAGCCAGTCCAGAGCCTTGCTACTCAGACTCCACACATGGGATCATGTTAAACGTACAGAAGCACAGGCCCCTTCTCAGACATAGAATCTGTTTTGATGAGGCCCCAGGTGGTGCGTATGTATAAACGAGCAGAGCGTCTTCATGTCGGACATGCTCCCAAGGCTGCTGGTTGGTGGATCAGACTGTGAGAAGCATGGTCTGTGAATCTGCATTTTTCATTCTGATACAGTCGAGAAAACCACCTATTATTTAGCAGCTTCTTAAAAAGTTGAATATAGATGTACCATATGACCCAGCAGTGTCCAGCCCTGGATATCTACCCAGGGGAAATGAAAACATGTTTCCACACAAAGGCCTGTACACAAATGCTCATAGCAGCCTTCTGCATAATCGTCCCAAACTGCAAACCGCCTAAGTGTCCATCATCTGGTGAATGGATAAACAGATGTGGTTTATCGGTACCGTGGAAGATGACGCAGCAGCAAGAAGGCATGTGGTACTGGCCCACACTGCAGCACGATGACCTTGATGGCATTATGCTAATGAAAGAAGCCAGATCTGAAAATCCACATATTTTATGACTCTGTTTGTATGATATGTCCAGAATAGGCAAATCTATGGAGACAGAAAATAGATTAATAGTTGCCTGGGGATGGAGGCAGAAGTGAGGATTAACTGTAAAAAGATGTGAGGAATTCCGTAGGGAGGATGAAAATGTTCTAAAACTGGATTATGGTGATGTTGCACAACTTAGTATACTAAAAATTCAGATATGTACCTACAGTAGGAATATTATAAGTAAATTATACCCTGATAAAGTTTTTTTAAAAACCATGTTAAAAAAGAAAACTGGCCGGGTACAGCGGCTCATGCCTGTAATTCCAGCACTTTGGGAGGCCGAGGCGGGCACATCGCTTAAGCGCAAGAGTTTGAGACCAGCCTGGGCAGCACAGTGAGACCCTGTCTCCACCAAAAAAAAAAAAAAAAATTAACAGGGCATGGTGGCATGCGCCTGTGGTCCCAGCTACTTGGGAGGCTGAGGTGGAAGGATCACTTGAGCCCAGGAGACAGAGGTCGCAATGAGCCGAGATAGCGCCACTGCACTTCAGCCTTTGGACAGAGAGAGACCCTGTCTCAAAAAAAAAAAAAGAAGAAAACCTCTGATCCAGGGTAGAAGGAGCAAATGAGCTTGGAGCCAGGTTCAGGCTTCAGGTTTCAGTTGGCCTTTCATAGTTCCACCGGATTATGCCTGTTGCTTTCCTGCATAAATCTTTCAAAAATCTGTGTACATCAGTGGACTCCTGTGGAAATGATACTAGTCTTTCAAGCCTTTCCAGTGGCCTGTAGTACTAAAATGGCTGTGATGGTTGTTTTACAGGAAAAACATGCAGAGGAACAAACAGGTAGCCATGGGCAGGAAAAAATTTAATATGGACCCTAAAAAGGTAAGTGAGAAAGAAGCGGGAAGTGGTCCATATTAGATGGGGTTTTTTTTATAGTGCTCAGATAGACCCTAAAAACGTTTCTTTCCAAGTGTTACAGTTCATGTTGCCGTTTGGTAGAGCAAATGTTATGCGCTAAGCCCTTGTTCCTAAACTGTGACTCTCCGGCTTTTTAGATCAGCTAGCAACTATTTATTAAATACTCCATTGCGCCCACACCCATTTCTTCCTGTGCCCTTTCCTCTTCTTTTTAGCTGTTTCCCAGCAAAGCATCATTGGCGTTTTCATTGTCTTTTTCTAGGGGATCCAGTTCTTAATAGAGAACGACCTGCTGAAGAACACTTGTGAAGACATCGCCCAGTTCTTATACAAAGGCGAAGGGCTCAACAAGACAGCCATCGGAGACTACCTAGGGGAGAGGCAAGGCCTTGGGGATGCGCACGTGCTAGGGAAGGCTGTTCAGGAATGACACAAAGAAACAAACTCCCAAATACGCTTTAGGTTCTTGGAGGGGTTTTTGCCTTAAAGCATCTGTAGCCACACTGGTGTTGAGGGGAGGCTTTTCTGGGGAATAGTGATGGGTCTGTCCGGGAGTCGTGGGGACATCGAGCTTGTTTAGCCAGTCAGCAGAGCTAGCCAGTCTTCTTGCTGACAGTGTGCGCGAGCAGCTGTCTGGACAGCCACAGGACGGAGTGTGGGAGACATGGCCTGGCTGGAGATTCTCAGTGTCAGTGTCTGACTCCTGCTTTCTCTCCCATTTTTTGTCTTTTCTCGATAGAGATGAGTTTAATATCCAGGTTCTTCATGCATTTGTGGAGCTGCACGAGTTCACTGATCTTAATCTCGTTCAGGCACTACGGTGAGTATTCTTGAGGTGAGCCGCTTTGGAAGGAGTGGGAGGCCAGCCTTTGATCATGAGTCTGTTCTGGGTGCCATTTTATTGGAATTATATCTTTGGGTATGATTTTGAATATTTTGGAGTATTTTGGAGGGAAGAAATCTGTTGGTCTCTGACTGGAAATGACTGGATGGTCAAGGGGAATTCAGTTCTGTTACGTTCCGGAGGCACATTCTGTAACACTCTTCCTTGAGTCTTACATTTGAGGTTTTAGAAATTGATGAATACTTAAATTTTTAAATTTTTAAGTTTAGAAAATCCTTTAGTTTCCTGCCCTGGAATAAGTAGTTATGCATTTCATTTTGGAAAGAAAAAAAGTAAACCTTAATTTTTTATTAAATTTGTTACCTTGTGCCTTTTAAGAAACTGTCATTCTGTATTTTCACTGCTGTAGGTATAAGTAATGACTTCATCTTTTGTACTATCATTTAGCTGGATGGAAATAATCCACAATTAAACCTGTTAGCTGTGGGTCTTTCTTTGACTTAAAGGGATCAATTGTTAATTCTTTGATAAGACAGTCTTCTCTTTTTCTGTCACCCATCTCGTTTTCCGGAAATAGAGTTTATTTAAAATGAGCATTATCTATGTTTCAGTCTTGTATACTATTCTGAGGAAGGAAACCACTCCTCAGTAGGAATGGCTTCCTTCCTAATTTTTCACTTTTTCCTAAGAAAAATTTTACTTTTGATTAAAATAACAGTGGTGTGGATGGCAACTTTGCATCTGTTCAGAGTTATAGGAACAGAAGGCTGAAGCCCAGCAGGGCTCCCTTTGCACTTTGATGTTAAAAAGTCATTGTCCGTGGCCAGGTGTGGTGGCTCACGCCTGTACTGCCAGCATTTTGGGAGGCTGAGGCGGGTGGATCACTTGAGGCCAGGAGTTCGAGACCAGCCTGGCCGGCATGGTGAAACCCTGTTTCTACTAAAAATATAAAAAATTAGCCGGGCATGGCGGCGGGCGCCTGTAGTCCCAGCTACTCGGGAGGCTGAGGCAGGAGATTGCTTGAATCCGGCAGGCGGAGGTTGCAGTGAGTCGAGATCATGCCACTGCACTCCAGCCTGGGTAACAGAGTGAGACTCTGTCTCAAAAAGAAAGAAAAAAAAAATCGTTGGCAGTTTAACAATTGATAGAGAAGTAAATCGCCTCCCCGAGTTCTGGAGCACTCTGTCTTTACCCACTCAGGCAGTTCCTGTGGAGCTTCCGGCTACCCGGAGAGGCCCAGAAGATTGACCGGATGATGGAGGCGTTTGCCCAGCGATACTGTCAGTGCAATAATGGCGTGTTCCAGTCCACGGGTAAATACAATAATCCATCCTAGTTTATGATGGGCATTTTACACTGGATTATTTTCTTGGCACCAGATAATTTCTAAAACAAAAGGGCTGAGATTCATGCCTAGGAACATTTATTTAATGATACTTATAATAGTAAAATGTTGGAAATAACCCAAAAGTCCGACAGTATGGCACTGTGAATTTAAATTGTGGTGCCTCTGAACTATGAAATACACAACTGTTAAAAACCACATTTGAGCTGTGTGCAGTGGCTCACACTTGTAATGTCAGCACCTTGGGTGGAAGGCCGAGGTGAGAGGATTGCTTGAGGCTAGGAGTTTGAGACCAGCCTGGGCAACATTATAAGACCCTGTCTCCAAAAAATTTTTTTAAAATTAACCAGGTGTGGTGGCTTGTGCCTGTAGTCCCAGCTGTTTGTGAGGCTGAGGCAGGAAGATCTCTGGAGCCCAGGAGTTTAAGACGGCATGCAGCGAGCTATGATCGCACCACAGCACTCCAGCTGGGGTGACAGAGTCAGACTCTGTCTCAGAACAAAAAACAAAAACTAAAAAAACCCATGTTGTTACAAAGAATTTTTATTGACATGGGAGAATGATAGTAAGATTAGCAGAAAAGCATATATATGTATTAGTTTGTTTCCAATTTTGTTGCAGTATATGTTTGTGAAATAAATATGTGATGAGTTATACCTAGACACATTTACGTAGAGGAAATAAAGCAAAATAAATTATTGCTAGATAGTGGGATTATGGGTCATTATAGGTCATATTTTTAAAAAATACCTTGTGTTTTTCAGAGTTTCTACAGTGTGTGTGTTCTCTTTTCCAATCTGAAAAAATAAACAGCTTTAAGTCTTGAATACTTTATATACTTTTTCGTGCCTTGCTCCTTTCAGACAGCAGTGTGCCCTAGAGTGTACCCGTTCATCTGGATTCATCCCGTTCTTTGGAGAACATGGTTTTTTTTCTTTTCTTTTCTTTTCTTTTTTTTTTTGAGATGGAGTCTCGCTCTGTCGCCAAGGCTGGAGTGCAGTGGTGCTATCTCAGCTCACTGCAACCTCTGCCTCCCAGATTCAAGCAATTCTGCTGCCTCAGCCTCCCGAGTCACTGGGATTGCAGGCGCACGCCTCCATGCCTGGCTAATTTTTCTGTTTTAGTAGAGACAGGGTTTCACCATGTTGGTCAGGCTAGGCTTGAACTCCTGACCTTATTATCCACCCGCCTCAGCCTCCCAAAGTGCTGGGATTACAGGCGTGAGCCGCCGCACCCGGCTGAGAACATGGTTTTTTATTCCTGGATTCATCTGATATCTCTTACTCTTGTGAGTAGGATGTTTCTGGTCATCTAAGCATACAACGGCTCCCCTTTGCTTTTCTCTCATCTTTAGACACTTGTTATGTCCTCTCCTTTGCCATCATCATGTTGAACACCAGTCTGCACAACCCCAATGTCAAAGATAAGCCCACTGTGGAGAGGTTCATTGCCATGAACCGAGGCATCAATGATGGGGGAGACCTGCCGGAGGAGCTACTCCGGGTAAGCAAGCAAGAGTGACCTTCATTCAAGTCAAGAAAGAGTTCACTGGGAACAGGATCGTCTTTTGTAGGAAGGAAGAAAAGACATACAGTTTATCAAGGGCCGCCTCTTTTAATTTATTTAACCATGTGAATTTCATTAAGAAGTTGGTAGTGAGGCCCAGCTACGGAATCAGGAAGGGGACAGTGGTTTGTAAATATGAAACTAAAAGCTTGAATAGAAGTCAAGCTGCTGTCTTTATTTTCCTAATGGGGAAGTCTTATTTATTTTGTCGCTGTGAGCTGCCTGAAAGCAGAAATGGTCATATTCTTTTAGTCTCAGCACCCAGCAGGCTTGGCTTACTATAGGCATATAATGAATGCTTGTGGAATTAATGAAGAGAAAGGGGAGGAAGAAAAAATATTTCTAGAATCAGAGACATAAATTGTCATCTTTTATCCCAGAATCTCTATGAGAGCATAAAAAATGAACCTTTTAAAATCCCAGAAGATGACGGGAATGACCTCACTCACACTTTCTTCAACCCAGACCGAGAAGGCTGGCTACTGAAACTCGGTAAGTGCGTCTCCGAGTTAGGGCTCCCAAAGCTGAGACTTAGGAAGAAAGGCTGTGTGCGTGCGTGTGTGTGCGTGTGTGTGCATGCATGTGTGCATGTGTGCATGCATGCGCATGCATGCTCACGCACATTCATGGACACACACACACCATGTGGGAAAGGGGGTGGCTTATAGGGGACTTCAAAGAGACTTTGGTATGAGTTCTGTTCTAACAAAGGTCCGCTTCCACAAAGGAAGTGACTTCATAGTCATTGCCCCCCTGGGACACAGACCGCTGGGGACAGATTTTACTCCACCATAAATACTGCCCACATGTGTTCATGCTCCACATTTTTACTCTTGAATTGGTTGACCAGGTTTTGTTTCAAGGCAGCTCCCTGAGCACCTGGTCCGTTTGCCTTCCCTGTCCCCATAACCATTGGGAGGGTGGCCAACCTTGTCCATCTTTCTACTTCCCATCACACAGATTTGTACCTGGCGCTCCTGCCCCCGCCCCAGTGCATCGTCACTTCCTTCTGCATCTGGCTCCCCCACAGGCAGTGTGCATGGCAAGCCTAGAGCCCTTGGCTGCAGCTCAATCCACAGCACTCTTACTCATTCTTGGGCAGCGGTTTTTTTTTTTTCTTTTTTTTCCCCCCCTCCTTTTCAATCTGAATCAGCCACATTAATTATTTTGTTCATTTAGAAAAGCTAAAAATGCATTTCTCTTCCCTCTGCCAGAAGTGATGAGCTTGTACTGCTGAGATTTGTGGTCATGCCTTGCCGTGAAGGGGACAGGATAATCAATAGGAAAAACATTAGTAGGGTTTTCATACACATTCATGTCCACATGTGTTTACTTTATTAATAGTTTCAGAATATAGAGAGAGCTCTAGACTCTCCGGACATAATGATGTCTTTTTTTTTTTTTTGGTTGGGGGGCCACTAACAGCGTATTTCCTCTGTTGCCTTCTGCCTTAACCTTTGATGAGTTGCGTTCTCACATTAGCAGGGGCTGTTTCGTCCTCTACCAGCCCAACTACTCGCCCCAGTGATTAGAAGTCAGTACTCTCTTGGTCATTACCAGCACATCCGGGAAGGCTAAAATGGAGTCCTTTATTTCTGACTAGGTCAGATAGCAATAGCCTTTATATTTTCTTTTAAAGGCATATCCCAAGTCCTTGTGCTTATACATAATGACTTAATTCATAAATTCCCCTTATGGCATCACTTCACCGATCAGTTGTAAATATCTCTTGAATTGGCCATCATTTTATGTATATTTAAGCCAGCAGAATCTTTGAAGTTAAGGCTCTAAAATTACTAACCCCATAGGCAACCTTCCCTTCCACATTCCTATTGCCAAGTGGATGGAGTTAAAAGAAAACCTACTGGAAATGTTTAAAGTGTGCCCAAGTTTGGATTTACTTTCCCCTCCAGCGAGATTTGTTTAAATGCTAATACTAAGTGTTAGCTTTGACAGCCCAGACACTAAAATTAGAACAGTACAAAGATTATCTTGGTTCTTACACCAGGATGACATGCAAATTCATGAGGCATTTCAGATTTTAAAAAAGAGGAAATTTTACCAAGTGTGGGACTCAGTTTTAGCTCATTGCATTACTTTTTCTAAACCTCCATCAAACCCTTCGAAACTACAAATATTGTGTTTTCATTGTAGCACACTTAGCATCACTCTTCGTGTTTATGTGCTGCAGAAGGCAGGGCTTCCAGCCGTCTGGAGCTGTGTGTATATGTCTGTGTATGCATATAGCCATAAGAATGTGTATTCTTGTGTATACACATATGTACATGTGTATTCATGGGTATATGTGTGTGCATTCTTACACACTTTAAAAAGTGACAGCCATCTAAAGAAAGACATTTAATTTTCCCTGAAATAATCTTAGCCTTCTTTGCTCTGATTCTGGATATACTAATAAACGTTGGCTTTGTAAAAGCTGATTTGTGGCATCTTTGGGGCCAGGTTTTCAGTAGTGCCCCAAAACTTGCCTTGATGAGGTGGGACATGGCATGTAAGAGCCCCTCGTTCACGTGCCAGACAGTGGTGGGATCATTTGCCCGTTCAGTGTTTTTAGTTCAGCTCTCTCCCCAGGCAGGCATGAATGTGACTGATACATTGCACTTTAAGATTAAGGAATCGGGTTTAATTTATTTGTTTTAATTTTCTTTTCTCCCTCATTTGTATGTTTCCATGATTTTGGCTCTCCTTTTCCTTGCCCCAAACTCCAGGAGGTATGTAACCCCTCAGCCTGCTCGCTCGCTCTGCATAGGCCACTGTCATTGCTGCAGCATTTTCTTATTTCGTTATTTTTGGTTATTTTGTTTTTTAATTGCCGGTGGTAGTGTTAATGCTGCTTCTAACTTATTGTACAGTCCCTAGGGAACTGGTCAGGATCAGGGGTTTGGAGCAATTTTCGTTTTTCCTTTTTGGAGGAGTATATGTTATATTCATTACTGAATGCAGTAATGCAAGAAAACATTCTAAGAGTGGGTTTGTAAAAGCAGAGGAAGTTTCCACGACATTTTCACTTGGAATTATTGGCTAAGACATGCACTATGTTTGATATTCAATTTGACATCCATTAATCAGCCTGATTGAAAGTTAATCTCTGACGTGGGGAAGAGGAGAAAGAAGAGAAGGAAGTATTTCTTTTTTCAAGCTGAGACTTTTCCAGAAAGAACAAAGTCTTGGCTTCCCAAAGCTAGGGAAAGCTTCTGATTTACCATGATGGAAAAGCAAACTAGGGAAAGATTTAAATTAGACGATATTTAAGACATTTACCTTTGGACAAAAAGGGGAAATGGCGTGTCCTAAACTCAAAATGACACCGAGTGAAGGTGAAAAAACAACTCCAAACCCAAAAACCCTCCCTGAAGTCCTCGTGTTTAATTTCGTGGGGATGAGAGAAGGGCATTACAGCCTGGGCTCTGTTTTTATGTTTTGTTTCGCTCCCTCGCTTTTTCAGCGAGTCCTCATTAAAGCCCTGAATTGCTCTCCTAGTTATGTTTTTGGTGTCTCCTCTCCATTTGCTGGTTTGGGGAAACATGTTTTCCTAGCCCAAGACACCTCAGATTTGTGCCAAAGCATCCCCTGAGCTGTAGCTACACTTAAAAAGAACAACTCCAAACATGCACACTTGCTCAGATGCTTCAGGAACTTGTCAGGTAGGGGAAGATGGCATCTCAGCTGTAGGGGAAGATGGCATCCGGCCTTGATATCTCGGGGAGGGCACAGGAGGGCTGAGGAGCCGTGCAGTGGGAGGTGGTCCTGTGAGTTCCACAGGGACTGTCCTAGGCACGCATTGATCTGTCTGCTTGTTTCATGTCTGCTTTTCTTTCCACGTGGAAATGTTCCGCGTGGGCCCACAGTGATGCTTTATGGTAGAGGTCTCTGTAATGCAATAAATTGTCCAGGGATAATAACCAAGCTTTTGTGATCAGGCAGAGAATTTCTTCCGGCTTTGCTTTTTCTCCTTGATTTCCTTCCATCGTGTTTCTTTTAGCATCTGACTCGCTTCTTCCATGATCTCCTAAGTCCCAAGGGCTCCCCGGGTACTGTCCTGTGATGGAGCGCATGAGAGGCCAGCACGGGCTGATGTTCCCTTTGTGCCGAGCCTCTGGGGACAACCAATGGCCCGCCAGGCTGGAAGACCAAAGTTCTCAGGCTCTGAATTGGTGGAGGGGGTTCCTTTTTAAGAATAAATTGGCTTTAGTCCTGAATATAGTCCTTGTCTTCTTTGTCCTCCTCATTGAATTCTGCCCAGGCTTTCCTGTTTTCCACATGCATGTCATAGTATCCATTTATGGTTTTCTTCTAATTCATGCCATCTAACCTTTAGGGACCAACGGCAAGGGCTCACATGAAACTTACAAGTCACTGGAGGGAGGGAGTCTCAATTTGCTTGACACAGCACAGGATGGGCAGGCGGATGGCACGTGCTTGCTTACAGCAAATTCCCCCGCATAACCTAGATCTGTGTCATTTGGAATCTTTGCAGTTAATGATCAGTCACGTAAGCCCGCCTAGAGTACAGCGTCCAAGCGGGGTGCTAAAAACTGGCCTGAAAGCCCAGTGGTCCTTTTATTTGTCTGCCAGGACCTACACTGGACATTTTCTTTCCATAACATTGTTTGCATACTCCCCTTAGGTTTCTCTGGTGTGAGCACGCAGGCCGGTTCTGGCGGTTAGAAAGAGTCCCTGTAAAACCTTTCTCCTCTTTGCTCAGCTATTTGTGATGAGGGCAAGAGAGAAAGCACAATCAGGGGTATGAGATTTATGCCCCATGGTTCTTGCCATTTAGGAAGATTGGAGAAGCAATATTGTCTGTAGGTTAAGTCTTAGCAAAAGAGCAGGGTGCAAGAAGTGTCTCTAGAATGCCATGCATAGCTTCACAGGTGAAGGCCTTAGGGATAAGTTTTGAGTGGTTCATGTTCAGAAAATGTTCCCTTGATAAGAGGAAGGTGGAGGAAAAGGAAGTCTGTGGTTCCAATTTGACAGCAGGTGTAGCTTCATTCAGATAGGCCTGGGGAAATTTTTTCTTCCTTCATGTCTGTCTCAGCATAACTTCACGACCCCAACCCCAGCTTTTTTTTTTCTTTTTTTTTTTTTGAGGTGGAGTCTCCCTCTGTTACCCAGGCTGGAGTGCAGTGGCGCAATCTTGGCTCACTGCAACGTCCACCTCCCAGTTCAAGCGATTGTCATGCTTCAGCCTCCCAAGTAGCTGGAACTATAGGCATGTGCTACCACCCCTGGCTGATTTTTGTATTTTTAGTAGAGACGGGGATTCACCATGTTGGCCGGCTACTCTTGAACTCCTAACCTCAAGCGACCCACCCACCTTGACCTCCCAGAGTGCTGGGATTATAGATGTGAGCCCCTGTGCCTGGCCATGACCCCAGTGTTTTGTGCTGAGAAATACTAAAAAGAACCAAGGGAGGCCCTTGCCAGCCTCCCAGCCACCGCCAGCAGAGCTTGTTTTGCCGTGGCGCTATTTGCCAGCTGTTTCTGTTATAAGCTCTAGGTGAGAAGCCCAGAATGGAAAAGGCTCCTGAGGCAACCTCTCAGTACAAGTTGATTCTTCCTTGATAAAGGAATTCTGCTGTGATTGTCACCCAGGACTCGGGAGATTTTGTTTTCAGGACACTAGCACATAAGGTTAAGAGCCAGTGTAGAAGCTCCCTATAATCGTGAAGGTGAGGAAGAGAGTAGAACCACGGGGATTTACTTCGTGTTCCAGGGAAAGTGTGGATTTGATTGTGAAGGCTCCCAGCATCTCCCCTCCTGCTTCCTCCTTCCTTCACTTCCAGTGAAACACTCCTTATGTGCCGGGCTACTTGTCCGTAGCAGAGTAGCCTGCACTAGGTGCTGACCCTTCCTTCTTTTTCTGTTCTTTGGCGATTTCTACCACATAGGCTTTTTGCTGACTCTGGCAAATTTGCATTGTATGTCATTATTGCCCCTGGGTTTTCCCTCCACAAACCCATGCTCATCCTGCTGTCCTGATTCCATCTCCAGGTGTCACCTAGACGCGCTTGCTCTGCTTGTACCCACAGGCTTTCACTTTGTGAAAGACGCTTCTGTTTCGGCTCTGTGTCTTGTTACTGATGTCAGTGTTGTGGGCTCCACGTTCTCCTGATGCCTCTCCCCCAACTCTCTCTGAGAAGAGAGGGTGTCGTGTGTGTCGTGGAGCCTGCGCTTGTCTGGTTGTCTCTTGTCGAACGTGCATCTCTTTTTGCTCTGCAGGTGGCAGGGTAAAGACTTGGAAGAGGCGCTGGTTCATTCTGACCGACAACTGCCTTTACTACTTTGAGTATACCACGGTGAGTGCCTGCTGCTCGGCCTCCAGACTAGGGATGGACAAGGCCTTCGGTTCCAAGTGGCTCTAATCAGACACGGTTGAGGAGACCATTGGATTTGCGCTTCTATATCTGTGGGGGATGGGGGAGAGTTTAAGCAAAGTGGAAGAACTGAGGTAAATCTCGGAATGGGGAACCTCCTGAGAGGATGTGCGTGCCTCCAAGGGCACTGGGGCTCAGAGCCGGCATCCGGTTCCGGTGAGACAGGAGACGCCCGGCCTGGAGGAGGGGGAGCATGGAATAGCAGCACTAGAAATGGGTTTTGGAACCGGGCTAGAAAGAATGAATTTGCATTGGTTGCCAAGAAAGAGTATGTGGCCCTAACTGAAAGGGAGATGAAAAGAAAAAGGAAATAATGATGATTTTAGAAAATTCACCTATTCTGGGTTAGCAGAAATATGATTTCAGAAGAAACAGCCCAAGGGGTAAAATATATGGTGGGGGAAAAAGAAGTGAAGTAAGATGGGAAAAGTTAATTTGAGATTATCTGGAGTTTTAAGAAGTTTTGTTGGTTTTATTCAGTGGGAGAGACTTACAGCTGCAAATTTGTGTTTTAGATATGTATATCTCTTTTGTAATAATAACCAAAGAGAATAAAAACCACAAATTAGCTCTTTTCAGAGCTCCCTCTAAGCAAGGTACCCAGAACCCTGGCAAGATCGTGGCCCACCGGACTGGCGATGGGGTGCTTTTTCATTTCTGCCACCTCTCTTGGTCATTTGTAAGAGCAAAGCGGGCATACTGCCATGGCATTGAACTTTTGTCTGAAATCAAGGCCGTTGAGTTGAAAATGCTTTGCTTTTGTTCTCCAAGTATATCTTCATGGAGCAAAAGTCATTGATCCCACTGAGAAAATTAAGACTCAGAAGTATTTTTTTAAAATAAGTTGAGAGCAAAATGGAGCTTAAAACATTGAAATCCTGAGTGTATTCACCAGTCCTGATTTAGGACCAAGAAACAGGTACATGCCTTGGCACTTTCTGCTGTGAGGCGTGAAGATGGGTTTCCGTCGTGTCTGACACTTGGCATTGTTCGCCATCCCCATGGACATCACGCACATGCAGCTTCTCACCCGGGGAATGCACTTCGTAGCCCATGAGGCTGCAGGCCAGAGCCGCTCCTTCTGATGGTTTGGTGACTGAGGATAGTGCATCACTTTGAAGGGGATTCTGGCCGGGATTTTGTGTGTTGTAGGGGCTCAACTCATGCCCTGCAAGTTCTGCACTGGCTTTGCTTTTCTGTTGTTGCAGTCTTTTCATATGAGAGTAATACACTTCAAATATCTGCAGAATTATAAAAAGAAAGCTGCTTTCTGCTTCACCCCCAAAGTACCACCATGAACATCTTGGTACATTTTTTTCTGTTTTGTTCACCCTTCTGCCCCATGTTTTGCCTTTTTTCTGAAGACATCTACACTAATGATGTCTTTAGCATCCTCTCTGAATTTGTCTCTTTATTCTCTGGGTCAAAATGAAACATACGTAAGCATCTAAGTGGTGTACTCCTAAGTCCTGGACAATCCTAGAGCAATGCTACGAGAGTCTAGAATCTTGTGGTTTTTCATGATGCCCACCAGAGTGGTGTCACCTTAATCCTTATTTCAATTCAGCCACACTTATTCAGCAAAGTGTAGCATTTTATCAAGCAGTGGAAATACAGAGATAAATACATTTCTTTTTTTTTTTTGAGACAGAGCCTCGCTCTGTCTCCCAGGCTGGAGTGAAGTGGTGGTGTGATCTCGCTCACTGCAACCTCTGCCTCCTGGGTTCAAGCAATTCTCCTGTCTCAGCCTCCCAAGTAACTGGGAGACTAGAGGCATATGCCACCGCATCCAGCTTTTTTTTTTTTTTTTAAAGTAGAGATGGGGTTTCACCACGTTGACCAGGCTGGTCTTGAACTCCTAACCTCAAGTGATCCGCCTGCCTCAGCCTCCCAAAGTGCTGGGATTACAGGCGTGAGCACCCAGCAGTGAAATACATTTCTTTTTTTTTTTTTTTAATTATATTTTAAGTTCTAGGGTACATGTGCACAACCTGCAGGTTTGTTACATGTGTACACATGTGCCATGTTGGTGTGCTGCACCCATTAACTCATCATTTACATCAGGTATATCTCCTAATGCTATCCCTCCCCCGCCCCTCACCCCATGACAGGCCCTGGTGTGTGATGTTCCCCTTCCTGTGTCCAAGTGTTCTCATTGTTCACTTCCCACCTATGAATGAGAACATGCAGTATTTGGTTTTTTGTCCTTGCGATAGTTTGCTGAGAAAGTAAATAAATTTCTTAAGACACAGAGAGGGAGCTGTCAGAGTTAAGACAGTAGATTGAAACTTCCACACAGAATTACCTAACAGAGCAATAGACTAGTAAAAAATAAATAGGGAAAAATAGCAACCAAGCAGGGGAAGGGGCGTAACGAATTCAGTAAACTTCAGCCCTGGGCAGCAGCGGGCGCAGCAGCGGCGGTGGCAGCAGTCAGAAGCAGTGTGCAAGGTTTCTACCTCACGGCCTGGGATGTGACGAGACCTGGCAGTCTTGCTGGTTTCTCAGGTCTGGGAGGAAGCAAACTGAATGGGACTTGTTATTTTTCCCTCCCTGATCAAGGAGTAGTAAAATCTCCTGCTGGGTGGACATTGGGGAAATGGGAAAAGTGAAAAAAACAGCCGTTATAGACATAATTAAAGGCTCAGGGCTGTATATTCAATGGGAAAGACCGTCCATGGGGGGGTCTCCCATGAGCATGATATCCATCCCCAAATACAGGGGTCCCCAACCCCAGGCCATAGGACAGTACCAGGCTGTGGCCTGTTACTAGCCAGGCCACACAGCATGAGGTGAGTGGCAGGTGAGCGGCAGAAGCTTCATCTGTATTGACAGCCAGCTGCTGCCCATCACTCACGTCACCTCCTGAGCTCCACCTCCCATCAGATCAGTGGCGGCATTGGATTATCATAGGAGCACGAACCCTACTGTGAACTGCGTGGGCCGGAGATCTAGGTTGTGTGCTCCTTCTGAGAATCTAATGCCTGATGATCTGAGATGGAGCTGAGGGGGTGATGCTAGTGCTGGGGAGTGGCTGCAAATACGGATGAATGTTAGCAGAGAGGTTTGACTGCACAGAGACCATAATGATACATCAGTTGCTTGCAGACTCATCAAAACTCTATCAGTGAGTGGCAAGTGACAATTAGGCTGCCTCTGGTGGCAGGCTTTATAGTGGCAAGTGAGCAGATGTACTTCAGTTGTACAGCTGTATCTGGTGGCAGGCTTTAAGTCAGAATCCAACACTTACTTCAGCCTGCACATGGCCTGCCTGTTATTTTATTTACCACTGCCATCCGTGTCTCTTTCCACACTGTGTACTTGTCTCAGCCACGGTTTTGGTAAGCCCACCCGCCAACCCTCACCAAAATGAGTAAAAATCAAACGTCACCGGAGAGCTTCTGTGAAAAGGGAGAGAGACCCATTGATGAGACAGCAGAAGACGCCAAGACTGCCAACGAACGGAAAGCTGCACTGTGAAGAAAATGCCTAGAGTTCTACTCCAATTCTAGGTTCATTTCCACAGCTGGTCACATTCACCAAGTCCACTTTGTAGAATATGTGGTGACCAACTACTCAGCAAAGCCATGAAAGCTTCAAAACTGCTTCACCGCATGGAGACCCAGCACCCTGCATTAAAAGACAAGCCTTTGGAGTTTTCAAAAGAAAAGAACGCGCGGTGGCTCAACCCTGTAATCCCAGCACTTTGGGAGGCCGAGGCGGGTGGATCATGAGGTCAGGAGATCGAGACCATCCTGGCTAACATGGTGAAACCCCGTCTCTACTAAAAATACAAAAAACTAGCCGGGCGTGGTGGCGGGCGCCTGTAGTCCCAGCTACTCGGAGGCTGAGGCAGGAGAATGGCGTAAACCCGGGAGGCGGAGCTTGCAGTGAGCCGAGATCGCGCCACTGCACTCCAGCCTGGGTGACACAGCGAGACTCCGTCTCAAAAAAAAAAGAAAAGAAAAGAACGTAAAAGAACAGAAGCAATTATTGAAGGCCACCCCTTCATCAAATGTATCTGCGCTGAAAGCATCACTCTTAGTGTCTAACCGCATTGCCAAAGCCAGGACTGGCTGTTGGTGAACAGTTGATCCTGCCTGCTGCTAAGGACATTTGTCATGAGCTTTTAGGAGAGGCTGTAGTTCAAAAGGTGGCACGTGTTGCTCTTTCAGCCAGCACCATAACTAGACGAATTGATGATGTAGCAGCAGATACTGAGGCACAGTTGTTCGAGAGGATTAATGAGTCACTGTGGTACTCAATTCAGGTTGACAAGTCTCCTGCTGTTGACAACAAGACAACAACGTTTGTTTTTCTGTGACATATTTTTCAGGAGGATGTGCATGAGGATATGTTATGTATGCTTTAGTTGCCAACCAACGCCATGGCTGCTATTCAAGTCTTTGAATGATTACATATCAGGGAAACTGAACTGTTCTGTTTTGTGTTGGTCTGTGCATGGATAGAGCAGCTGCCGTGACTGGACAGCTTTCTGGTTTCACTACTCAGGTCAAAGAGGTCGCTTCTAAATGTGAGTCTATGCAGTATGTCATCCATAGAGAAGTGCTGGCTAGCCAAAAAGTGTCACCTGAATTTAACAACATTTATGCAGGATGTGATTAAAATTACCAACCACATTAAAGTACGTGCCCTAACTCACGCCTGTTCATGCAGCCCTGTGAGGAGCTGGATGCAGAGCACACACGGCTTCTCTGATACGCAGAGTGAGATGCTTTCTAAAGGCAGATCACTGGCCAGACTTTCTGAGTTACAACAGCCACTTCAGAGATTTCTTTTAGAAAACATCACCACTAGCAGCACATTTCAGTGACACAGAATATAGGTCAGGAAACTTGTGTACTTGTGTGACAGATTAAACTACTCACAAACTCAATCCGTCACTGCAGGGGAGAGCGGCA